GCACTAATCGAATATAATAACTTATAGGAAATCATGTAATTCGTACCTTATTTTTTATTCTCTTTCACAATTAATTTCTATTTTGCGTATTTTTTAATCAAAGTATAGGAATATAAGAAAATACGAAAAAAATGCAATGAATTAAAATTTATTGATCTGATTTTTTTATGGAAAACTTATTTAGAGTGGCTCGTCGCATCGTATTCTTCTGTTTTTCATATAATTGGCGGTACTGAGAAATTGCCTCATCAATTTTTCTGCAAATTTGACGGCTTCTATCTTCATCTGGGTCTGTTTCTAAACATTTTCCCTTAACTTCTTCAATAACCATGAAAAGTTCTTCTAATTCCTTCTTCGTCATCTTCTTATGCTGGCGGGTAGGTAAGATTTCTTCACATTCATCAATGTGTTCATATGCTCTCTGAGTGTCCAAATTTATAAGATCCTTATTGGTTAGTTCTTCTGAATGAGCTTCTAGCAATTCTTGCACCTTTTCATCGTCAGTCTCAGCGAAGCCAAGTTCTTTTCCAATATGAGTAATCTCTTTAATGACCTCTTCTATATCTTTTGAAAAGCCTGTGACGTCCTGTGCACGGTGTGGAAGAACTGTCTTCCAAACACCTTGCATATTTTTAACTGAAATTTCATTCCATGCTTGATATTATCAATAGCATCCCTAATACTGAATTTCTTCCAAAATTGAACTAGTGTCATAGAATTCTCTCCAAATGTTGCTTGAATCGCTTGCTTGAAAGTCTTTCTGAGGTAGTATGCTTTAAAGGTCGCAATAACGCCCTGGTCCATTGGTTGCAATAAAGAGATAGTGTTTGAGGGCAAAAATGTCACCTGGATATTTTTGCACATTGAATCAAAACCAAAAGGATGACCAGGGGCATTATCTAAAATAAGCAAATCTTTAAAATCTAAATTTCTTCTTCGGTAAAGTTTTCAACCGTTGGATAAAAATACTTGACGAACCATTCTTTAAACAAAGCTTTAGTTACCCATGCTTTTTTTATTAGATTTCCATATTAATGGTAAT